AGCGCTTCGTGGCCTCTAACGAGAACGTCCTTCTCTTTTTTGTTTATTTATCTATTTAGTGGCTTGCTTAGATTTATCTAACCCTATTTTAAAATATTTTAATTATTAGGTAACTAACGGAAGTTTTAGTATCTGGAGAATTTTTTTTTATTATTTCAACAGGTCTTTCATTTAATTATTTTTTTTTTAAAAATAAAAATTCTGTAATGCATATGGTATTAATAAACTTGGAACTGCGATTACCATTTAATTATTATTTTACTAATGAACGCAAACAATATCTATCTATCTACCAGCCGCTTAACTCACTCTAATACCAGGTAATACTGAGTATGGGAATCGGTTATGTTCTTTCTTGAGCAGTCGAAGTTATTTGTTTGTCGTTTTACGTTTGTAGAAGAATATCCCATCACGCCATATACGTCACTATACTTTCAAAGTTGGTGATAGGAAAGGTTGAATAAATAGTCAATACGTTAGAGGAAAATGTGTTCTCTAATAGCAAGGACGAGAATGCTCTAACTCTACTACTGAATGTTTAATGACGCTTCGGCTTAGTTTGAGGAATTTGCACATGACTATAATTTTTATTTCTGTTTATCCTTCTTCAATAGAGCTAATGATGGAAAGGCCAAAACATGAGCTAGCTTAAATCCAATGAAGGAAAGGTCAACCTTAAGGATATGCACTTGATAACTTGCGTTAGGGAACGTTGAAATGAAAATGACCATAGTGACTAGAACTCCGAATTAGTTCGGGTCGACCTGTTACCTGACATGACCCGACCTGAAAAATCCAGGTTGAGTTGGTAGATTGTTTAGCGGCTTTATATCTTTGGTAGTATGGCTTGTGCTGTATGGTTAACGATCAGGGTTATAATACTTTGGGACATATTTTAACCGTAATGTTTATTATGGCCTTTAATTAATTATTATTATTAAGAGGGAAAAAAAATTTTTTGATCAAAGATTTAGATTAAAAAACTTTTTCTTATTTTTTTTTTTTAATGAATTATATATAGCATTTCTCTCGCGAATATTATCATATTTGTAGATATAATTTAAGGGAGGCAGCTTGGCGCAATAATTGCTATCGTTAAAAATATCAACGTTTCGATTATACTAGATTAATTTATTCATTCATACTAATAATGGTGGTGTATGTCATTGAGCGTCAGTAATTATTGTATTGTACTGGATCTTTTGTATGAAATTAAATATCCTAACCTCCCATAGATTTAAATAAATTACACGTACGCATAATCAATAATTGTTTAGCAATCTTAATAAATACATTGATACAAAATTAAATGTTGTATGTATGAATCACCTGATTCAGGGTAGATTTACTTTTTTATTGAATAAATTAGTGTCGATCATAGATAGCCACGATTATTATAGCGATTCAAAAAAATTCTCTATTTTTGTTAGAAATGAGTAGTATAAAATTTTGTCCTTTTGACGGATACAGATTTCTAGGTGAAGAAGATAAATGTGTCACTTGTGGATTTGACAGGTATTTAGCAAAAAAAAAAAATTAAATTAAAATTACTCTAAGCTTTTTTTAACGATTTTTAAGGTAGATTTCTCGCTGTTAATAAAAATTGGGTAAATTACTTATAAAAATATATATATATATACTGTATATAATTTTATTATAAAATTAATTTCTTTATAAAAAATTTTTTAGGATTCTTTGACGAATTCACCAACAAAAAAAGCTCAATGGCGTAAATTACTATGGATAAAACAAGATTATCCTGATAATTACGTAGATAGTTCATTTCTCGAAGAACTACAAAAGAATGGTAATGAAATTTTTTACTTCCTAATAAATTATCCCATAAACATTTTAAATAATGATAATTTTTTTTTCCTAGTTAATGTTAGAGCATACGATTATTGGACTGTGTTAAAAGAATCGTGTGTAATCTCACAACATATAAGTAGTATAGTAATTTTTATTGCAGTATTCATATATCTTTATCTTGATATGCTATCGGCACAAAATTTAATTATAAGTGGTACCGTATTTACTATCATTGGATATATTTTTTGGGATAAAAGTATTTCGAAAACAGATCCATCTTATGAATACAAAAGTAAATTAATTAGTTTTATAATTACGTTTTTTTTAATATGTATATATTTTAAAGATTTTTTTTTTATTAAAATAAGGATGGAAAACTGCAAAAGGAGCTGTACTTTTCTTTGCAACACTATTATGCATATCTCCAATTTTAAAAACTTTAACAAAAGACACAAGTAGTGATACAATATGGGCTGTAACCGTTATTTTATTCCTTGCAAATATGTTGTTTCATGATTATGGTTCAGAGAATAGAACAAATATCAAGTAAAAATTTTATTTAATTTCATTATTATTATATTCCAAGGTATTAAGTTTTATGCTTTAATTCTAGGTTTCCCGGATCTTTATCAACGAATGCTGCCATATTTGCTTCGGTTTTGCTAGCTTCAAGATTACCTTCAAATTCTCATGTCTTTGGATTAATGTCATTTGCTATTGAATGGTTTGCTTTGTTTCCAATATTTCGAAGATATACCAAAGTAATTAAACATTCGAAAACTTTTTATTTATTGTCTTAAACTTTTCTAAATTTACTGAAAGTTTTACATCCATTTAAATAGAGTCTTTCAGCTAAATTCAATATAGCATTAACTTGTTTATTATTCTTATTAGCTACTTTATTATTTTTAAATATTTCAAAAGCTATTGTAACCCTTTTTATTTTAGGTATTGTTTTTATTACTTTTGTTTGTCCTTTTTGGTTAATTTGGATACAAAAATATAAAAAGTAAGTATTAATTATTAAGAAATTTAATTATTTTTTTTTTTTAAAATTGGTTTTTCTTTATTGTTAGTGAAATCCATGGACCATGGGATGAAGCTAGACCTAAAATTACAACATATTATTAATTATATAATAAATTATTCATTCATTAAAAATATAATATATATATTCAAGTATTTTATTTTATTTATATTCTTAATTTTATATATACTTATAATAATATTATTAATATACTATTATATAAAAAAAAATGATTTATAATTTTAAATAACTAATATAATTAAACTTTTTTTATAATTATTCATTACTTTTGATTTTATACTTAGTAATTTTTCAAATAATGTATTTATAAAAGATTTTATTATATAGGTATTTTTTATTAATTTTATAACTATAATTATAAAAAGTTTCTATATGATTAAAAACAAAATGATTGTAAATAGTAAATATATTTAGTTTATTATAATTATTTTTTATTATCAGAAATAAGAATAATATATTAATTTTAATAAATTAAATTTATTTAAACCTTTATTATAATTATTTAATTTTAATATTTTATAATCAGATATATATAATTCAATTTGAATATAATAAAATATATTTAAATAAAAACATTACACATTTACAATAATTATATTTTTATATTATTCATAATTATTTTATATTAGAAAATTTATTTAATTATTTTTAATATTGTAAATATTATAAATAATTACAAATTATTTAAAACTATAAAAATTAAATATTAAAATAGTTTATTAATGATAATTAAAATAAAAGATAATAAATGTTTAATAGCAAATTTTAAAATAAAAAAATGTTTAAATTATGTAATAAAAAAAATTAAAAAAAATATAAATTAGAAAAAAAGGAAAAAGAAAATAATTTGCATTTATAATATAATTTGTATAACTTTTGAATTTGTTTATAAATGAATTTAAATTTAAATATAAAGTATTATACTAAATAATAAATAGATGTTGTTGTTTGTTTTGAAATATATTTTTTATAGCAATAATAATTATATAAACAAAAATTTTCACATTGTATTTAATAATTAATTTAAAATATAGTTAACTTTTTATATAATGAATTTTAATATAATAAATTTCACAATATAATAAATCTTTGATATAATACAAATTTTATTATTAAAAAATCTTATTATAATAAATTTTACTAGTTAAATGCTATATAATATTATACATAAAAAATTTTATAAACAGATATATATAAAATAATCTTTTTTATAATGAATTTATTTATAATAAATCTTTTAATATAATGAAAATTTTGAAAAATAAATTTTATTGTAAAAAAAAAGCTGATCCTAAAAAAGAAATAAAAAGAATATTCATAAACATTTTTGAAAAAGTCGTCTGTCTAACTTACATAAGAAATTTACTAATATTGATCCTAAGAATTCAAAATCTAAAAATCCAGTTTTATAAAATAAATAAAAGAACATTAGTAAATATTTTTAAAGAAGCTGTCTAACTTATTTAAGAAAAAATTTACTTATTGGTAATAGTTTTAAGAATTCAGAATCCAAAAAAAATTAATTTTATAAAAGAAATAAAAAAATATTAGTAAACATTTTTAAAGAGCTATCCAACCTATCTAAAAAAAATATGTTTACCAGTATTAATTTTAAGAATCTAGAATACAATAAATCAGATTTAAGCTAATCTTAAATCAAATAAAAAAAATAAAAATAAAATAAAAATAAAAAATAAAAAGAAGAATAATTAATTTTAAAAATAAAAAAATAAAATAATGAATTTAAAAAAATAATTAAAATAAAAAAATTAAAAAAAAAAATAAATAAACTTTTATATATTTAGAACTTTGTTAATATATCTTATAAATTGTGATATGTTCATTAATTTCTTAATGTATTTAAATTCAATAACTTTAATATTTATTTTCTTCCTATAAACTTTCTTTTTTTTAGATTATCTATAATTTTTGATAGTTTTCTATATAATAAAAATGACTATAATCAAATTATAATTATATATATTATAATTTACTTATACTTAATAGAATAAATATTAAACTAAGTATTAAATTATGTATACTAAATGAATCTATTTACTATAATCAAAATAAAAATCTTACTAATTAGTCAATTATATAATACTTGTCTAACTTTAATTAAAAAATTTAATTAATAAAACAAATAAAAAATCCTCTTTAAAAAATAAAAATTATTTTTTTTAACTTACTGTCATAATTATTCAGATCACTCTAATTGGTCTAATTAATGATATTATTATTAAAATAAATTATTTATTATATATACTGAATAATTCATTATAGTTAAAGATAGTATTATAATTAGTTATAACTATATAATATTTATTTGTCACCAGTTGTAATTAGAAATAACTTAATTTTTATTAATATCACAATTAGTTACAATCTTATAATACTTATTTATTATTAATTGCAATTAGTTGCAATATTATCTTTAATTATAATAATAACAAATTTTTTTATAATAAAGATTTGATTAATCTAAATGGATAATTTATTATAATAAAATTTAATTGTATATACAATAAGTAATATTTAAATTTTATTTAAGTAATAAATTCATTTTTTAATAAAAATATCCTAATGTAAATTAGTAGTTTTATTATAAATAAAATATTTATTTGATAATTTTGTATTATCTTTAATAAACAAAAAAGATTTATGTAAATAGATTTTTTTATAAAGAATAATAATTAGAAAAAGATAATCTAAAAAATAAAAAAAAAACATTAAAGATATTAAATAAAATAAGAAAATAGGAAAATTAAAATAAAAATTCAGTTTATATATGAGATTAGAATTAAAAAAAAAATAAAAATAAAAAGGTAAATAAAATTAAAAGGAGTAATAGTATATATAGATAAAATCATATTA